TTTTGCAACTCAATAGGCATGTTATGAGAAGTTAGCCTAATTGATCCATTATTACAACAAAAACCTGGTGATTCATATTGAAATCTTTTTGCTGCACAAAATTTGCAATTTGGAATTTTCTTTAAAAGTAAGTAATCTTTTAGCAATAAATTATCATTTTGTAGATTTACTTCTAACTTATTTCTACCTGTGCATTGTAAAAAGCAATTATTTGTTACATAAAGGCATATAGTGTTTTTTTTTTACTATGGTAGAAAGAAGCATACCTCTATTTGAAGTACGTCTTGAACTTGATCTGTTTGCAGCATAAGATGCACTCGACGTTGATCCTAGTATTAGGAATAAAAATATTTAGACACAGTTAGCCAATTACTAAAAATCAATATAGTCAAAATAGTTTAAGTAATATTTCTGAACTGACCTACTTCAAAGGTAGATAAGCAATTAACTATACTTTCTCCTCTAGTTGAAGTAACTGGTAGGTTTATAGCTTCAGAAGCTTCAACTACAAAATGAGGAAAATAACTTTAGTAAGAGTAGTTGAGCTGAAACAGCTAACTATAGCTGTAGATATTGAGAAGACAGATTGAAGGAAAGGTAACAATATGGTTAGCTAACCTTCTTGAGGAAATAAGAAAGAAGTGCCGATTGTAAGGGCGCCAGTACTATTTAATTGATGTTCTGCTGTAGCTAAATTAACTGGTATATTTGTAACTTCGAAAGCTTCAACTACAAAATGAGGAAAAAAGCTCTAGTAAGAGTAGGTGAGATGAAGGGTCAAACTATATCTATAGATATTCAGAAGACGCATTTCAAAGCTGGGACTACAAAATGGTGACGAAGACGATTTCATCTGATGGTTGAAAGAAAACTTCAAGTATTTTGGCAACCAATGTGATTATTATTAACATAAAAACCATAAAAGAGACTTATAATCATCCAAACCTCAACATATTGATGAAAAGTAAAAACATGTAATTACATAATTTTGCCAAAAAACGACTACACCTACTTGGCTTTTTTGTATTTTTGAACATTAATATTGTTTCACCCATTTCTCTATTCATTGTGTTCACTATCTCTGTATACTGCATACGCACTCCTTTGAAGTGTTTCCAATTCCTTGCTTTCCTCCCCACATAGCTGCTATCACTTGCTTTTTGAAAGTCTTCCAATGTTTTATCTTGATCATTTCTACTGTTTCCTTGAAACCTCTTGTAGGTAGACTGACTTTTATCCATTCAGTTGTTGTATCTCTTACTTTTGTAGCATATTCACATTCAACAAATAAATGATTGCTTGTCTCCATAGTTGAATCTTGGCGCATACAACATGAATTGTCCTCTACATGTATATTTTAGATGGTATATTTTAAGGAAATATTGATTATATTAGAGGAGAACATAGAGTTCCAGCTAATGATTCATCCCAACGACTCGGAATCATTTACTACTGTGGTAAGGACAAAATGTCTCTGGCAGCAACATAAAATTATTTATATGACTGTAGAATTATCAAAGCTTTGTAAAAGAGCATATTATGTCTTGGAAGAATTACACAACATGTAATGACTTCCGGAATTAATACTTCACATGTAATGAACTGAACAATTTTTTTTATACCTATTTCTAAGCAAATGTTGTTATAATGATATGATATTTTTCCCACAAATAAAATGTTGGGCATCCTACGGCTTAGAAGTGTTTATTTGTAATTGACAAACCATTCACTTAGCAGCATTATACACAAATAATTCATATATAATCATATATAAAAAATAGAACAAAGCACAATATGGAAACCAAACTATTAGCAGATCAAACGAAAAAAATGCGGAGGAGAAGCAACTCATGTGAACTGTGAAGATTGGATAACCCCCAACCCAATAGGAAAATTTCAGCTATTATTTCTGCATTAGGCGTCCATTATGTGTGATCCTATACGTGAAAATTACTAACAGAATTTTGGTTTTTTTTTACAACAGATTTACGTAAAATATGGTTAGCTAACCTTGTTGAGGAGATAACGAAGAAGTGTTGATTGTAAGGGCGCCAGTACTATTTGATTGATGATGTCCTGTAGTTAAAGTAACTGGTAGGTTTGTGGCTTCAGAAGCTTCAACTACAAAATGAGGAAAATAGCTATGGTAAGAATAGTAGCGTCTAACTATAGTTGTACATATTCAGAAGATAGAAGGAAGATAAGAATATGCTCAGCTAACCTTCCTGAGGCGATAATGAAGAACTACTGATTGTAAGAGCGGCAGTAGTATTTGATTGATGAAGGTGTTTTTGTCTTTTTGACTCAGCCCTTTTTTCTCTTAGCTCGGATAAAAATAATTGCTTTCTCTCTGGTGACATCTGTGCATATCTGGTACGACGACGCAAATTTCTGTCAGAAGTTCTTTCTTGGGCAGACACATTATCTCTATTTTCTTCCATTCTTGTTTCAATTAGTTCATGATTTGTCAAACTAATTTACAATTTAATGCAATATGGAAAAAATACATGCATAAGTGGAAGAAAAAGGGCATACATTGAGAAATATCAATGTAGCGTTCACGAAAATAAAAATTAGAATGAGAATAAGACAAAGAAGCACAATTATTTAACTAATAACATTAGTTTTACAGAGGCAAATATTGAGATATCGATAATCTTTAAATGTAATGACAACTAAAACAATGAAAGGGGAAGAACTTGAAACATTATTTAAAAATAAGAAGCAAATTATCGTTAAAAAACCATTATACAAACACCTCTTCTTCTCCCTAAAATTCTAAATAGAAATGTTTAAACAAATATTTATTGAAGGTAAAACGGATGCCAACAACTTATAGTATTGATAAAACATTTGGACTCTTAGGAGTTGAATCATTATGGCAGAAACTTGGTTCTCTTTTTTCCTGGACTTGGAAAATTTAACAGCAAACAAGTTTAACTGACATGATTATTATAATGCGTACCTTTATAATTCCAAAGTACATATCACAAACACGTTTAATAGACATGAATTAATTTAGTATATACTTATCTAACAGCATTGTATGTAGTTTTGTGTGGAGTTGTTTCTGGTTTCATTTTATGCATTTATGCAATGAATGGCATCCTCGTCAAGGTTTATGTTTATTAAGTTTAACTTAACTGTATACGCGTCTGCTTTTCTCCAAATGAAGCCGATTTACATGTTGATTATTGTAGCTAATTTGGATTTCGATATGCATGACAGCCATTAACTGTCTTATATATGGTGCAATTTATCTTCTTCAGATGGTCCGTTGATACATTCTTATGGGTCCTTTCAGTAGGTTGTTCTGAAGTTTCCTCCCTCACTTTTTGATGGTTGCACCTAAGCAAAAGTGGACTTCAAAAGAAGAAGCTGCCTTTAAAGTTGGGAAGAATTTAATGAAGTATTGTGTTTGCGTTCAAATGTAGATCTCAAAGTAGGGTTCCTTCTATCATTTTTTTCATTAGATAATTATATTTAGTGCAGAGGAAGTTTGGAAGTTATTTGAAGCAGATATAGTTGTGATGTAAGGCAGGGCTTGTTCTAATAGCAGTCAACCCCTTCAAAGAGATCCAATTGTATGGGAGCAAATTTGTTACAGCATAGAAGAAGAAACTCTTGGATAGTCCTCACATTTATTCAATTGCTGAAACTGCCTATAGTCAAATAATGGAAGGTCTTTATAATTCTTAAGTTCATTCCTGGTCTCTGAAACTTTTAGATGACATTAGTCGATCCTTATTTTCTTGCTTCTCCTGTGCACCTTGCAGATGAAATAAATCAATCCATCATCATAAGGTTGGTTGAAGTGTCTCATTGTTAGAATTTGTAAAGCGAAGTATCTGATGATAGTAAAAGTGTTCCTCTACACTGGTTGAGTAATTGCATGTCTTGGTTGTGATGATCAAATTTGTGGTAAGGCTATGCTTGTATTTTCAAACAACTAACTTCTCTTCATATCATTTAGTGGGGAAAGTGAATCTGGGAAGACGGAATCAGCAAAATTCATGATTGAATATTTGGTTATGATTAATGGAGGCAACAATCGTGTAGAAAATGAGCTGTTGCAGTCAAGTTGCATATTGGAGGCTTTTGGAAATGCTAAAACCCTCAGGAATAACAACTCCAGTCGATTTGTCAGTCTCTACATCTTCCTCTGTTTCTTTTTTGTTTGCTCTCTTTTTTTTGAGGGTGGGGGTGGGGGTTATGGCCTTTTTTTGCACTTGAACTAACAGATGCTCTGATGGGTTGCAGGGAAGGTTGATTGAAATTTATTTTAGTGCAGAGGGAGGAATTTGTGGTGCTAATGCGGCTGTTGGTGGTGCAGCTGATGGACAGCCACTTTTTGTTGAAAACGAGCAACCTAAGTTTATGGGGATTGAAGTTGTCACCCTTAAGAAAATTATACCACTTGGGGCTATGTTCTTTTGTATTCTGTTTAATTATACAATCCTTAGGGATACTAAGGATGTGTTGGTTGTAACAGCTAAAGGGTCTAGTGCTGAGATTATCCCTCTCTTGAAAACTTGGGTGAATTTGTCTATGGCTATTGGATTCATGCTTTTGTACACAAAGTTGGCTAATGTGTTGTCAAGGAGGTAAAGAGATAAAAATGAAGAAGGTGAACTTTGTTTTTCTTGCTTAAATCTAAAACAATATTTTCTAACAAATTAATAAGAGATGATACAAATATGCAAACTGTTTGTATAGAAAAATAGAGATTATGTCCTGGCTGAATCCTTTTAAAAATACATTTAACAGAAGCTTATGTACAAGCTTAGAAGTTGAGAAGATGAACAACCTTTGTTGAAGCATTCAAATTTGAAGAGCAGAAACAAAACACACCAAAATAATCTTATGGCTACAAGAATGAAATCTGATGCTGCATGCAAGAACAAAACAATAATTTGTTCAAATTTAAGCTCAAAAAAATTGTTACCTGAGTTGTACTCTACACCTCTTCTTCTCTCTAATTTCCGACCACTATGCGATAAAACCTCTAATTTGTATTATCTGGACAGCAACATTGAAGCGAAATTTGAGGAGAAAAGGAATTGTGGAGGAGAAAATGGAGATTAATGGAGAGGAATTGTGGAGGAGAAAATGGAGATTAATGGAGAGGAATTGTGGAGGAGAAGAAAAGAAGGAAAGAAGTAAAGTGGATAGACAATAGCAAAATTACCAATCTGCCCTTCTTCATCCTGCACAAATGTAATAGCGAAATTACCAATCTGCCCTTCTTCATCCTGCACAAATGTCCAAATTTAATGATAAAATTACATAATTATCCTTGTTAAATAAAAGAAAATATATATTATATATTTAAAGTACAATTTAAATAGCTTTGAGAACAGGTTTTTAAAGCTGTATTTTTTGTCCTTAAAGTTGTGTTAGTCATATTTAAGGTACAATTTAAATAGCTTTGGGTACAGCTTTTTAAAGCTGTGTTGGTCCTTTCAACTCCCTCTTCTAAAAAGGGGAGATACTTGCACTGTTTCCTCTAGCTACTCTTGTTACTTTGAGTGGATGACTCAAACATGTCGTCGCGTTTAAGCACCCCACAAGTTTCAAACTGTAACGACCTGTTTAGTCGTTTTGAGCAACAGACTTCAATTCTGGAAAAACTGGCAGAAGCGACGGACCTCACGACGGACCGTCAAGGGCACGACGGACCGTCGCAGGGTCTCGTTTCAAAACACTTGGAAAATCTAAAACTGGGTACTGAAAATCGACTCTCTGAACTTCGTGACGGAATGGCAGGACGGACCGTCACAGACGTGACGGACCGTCACGGAGACTTCAGTGAAAATCCATTCTCTGAACTTTGCGACGACCTGCAGGACGGACCGTCGCAGGCACGACGGCCCATCACAGGTTGCGCAAATCCAAGGCAGAGTCGGGTTTCTGGTGAAGTTTTAAGGGACGTTTTTGGACTATTCTTTCCTTAATTATAGATTTCGTGGGGTTATATTAATAACTAAAATTCTTGAGGGGTTAAAAGAGGTAACCCTAAGTTAATTAGTGGGGTATTGTTGCCATCTTTTATTCTTAATTATATACTAATTAGGGTAAAAGAAAGAGGGTTTGAATAAAGAAAATAGAAAGACCGAGAGAGAGAGAGAGAATCGAACGAGAAGAGAGAAACAAAGCTTTGGGAAAATTCTTGCTTGATTCAACTCTTCGGTGGAGGTAGGTTATGGTTTTCATGC